ATAGACATTGTGTCTTCAATCCCAAGAACATATTCTGACAAGACTTTAAACCAAGGATAGGCAACCTTTCCCCTTTAAGGGCCAAGGGACTTCAGCTCCTAGAAGCCTCAGCCATGTTGGCCAATAGTTCCATGTTGACCAAAAGCTCCTGGGATTCTGGGAGCTGAAGTCCCTCGGCCCTTAAAGGGGAAAGGTTGCCTACCCCTGCTTTAAACAGAATTTGAGTAGTAGAATAATATATAAAATAATATAGTGAATTAAAATCCTATCACATCATTGTAACCAAAAAAATTCTGACAGAAATGCTCACAGTTGGACTGGTAGAGGCAAAGCAATATGGCCGAAGTTAATAGCTTAAGTTGGAGTCTACACTGCAGGAAGCAGATGGAGTAGCCCTTTGCTCTGACTGACAGAGGACATTATTCTGTTTCAAGATCTGTTGGAGGACAGTTCTCTGTTTGATGGCATCTTGTTGAAATGCTCTCTTGTTCAAGTCTGGTAGAAAGACAAGAAACAATAAAATGGACAAAAAGGGATATTAACACTGCCCATCAACACTTACCACCTGGACAACAGTGGGCAGAGATGTTGCCTAATCAATTCTGCAGTATGCTGAGATGTATTGTATCTGTTTTCTGTTAACTATTTCTAGAAACTTCCAGTGTTATATAGTGGTTTTAGTGTTGGACTAACACTCTCAGAGACCAGGGTTATAATCTACACTTAGCCATGGAAACCCACTGAGGGATCTTGGAAAAGTTACACACTCTCACCCTCAGAGGAAGGCAATGGCAAAACTCTTTTGAATAAATCTTGCCAAGAAAACCCTATGACAAGGTCACCATGAGTTGAGCTGACCTAGAGAATCCTAGCAATAGCATATGCAAATATTATGTACATCCAGATGCTTTTAAAATCTTTTTGGACAACAGGAAAATGGCTTCACCAGATGTAGATCACATTCTTCTGTTAACTGGAAAGATGAGAGAGAAGGTTAGGGTCCCGGTTAGGGTCCCAAGAGCCATTATGTTGGCTGCAAATAGGACAGATATGTCACATCCAAGTTGTGCCCCTCCCAAATGTTCTACAAAAGGGTTCTGAGGCCTGAATGCAAAAAGGTTCAGTAATTTTGTTAGCTTTACTACAAACCTAGACAGAACATGAGAAACTGACAATTCTTTTTCTGTCATTCTTTCTTTTTTTGAGGTCACCTTTAAGAATCCATGGCTGGAGGGATGTGGGTAACTGTAGTTCAGAAATTGTAAGCTGGGAATGAACAAGTAACTTAAAACATGGTTAAATGGGCTCAACATATTCAGAATACAATAACTTTAGAACTATGGGAAGATTCTTGGAGAAAGACACAAAGATTTACTAAATCTCAGGATCTTAAAGAAAATTATATCAAGATATTCCACAGATGGTATCTTACCCCAGATAAATTAAATAAAATGTATAAAGAAGTTGACCCAACATGTTGGAAATGTAAAGCAACACAAGGATCCTTTTTTCATTAAGGTGGAGATGTCCTATTATCAAAAAATACTGGAAATCAATACAATCTAAAATGTCACAAATTATAGGGAAATCTATTCCTATGAGACCTGAATTATTTTTTCTTAACATGAGATTGGTGTTAGACAAAGCAATTCAAAAATAACATTGGAAATTAATTTTATATATGATGGCATCTGCACATATTCTCTTAGCTAAATATTGGAAAGGGATAACAATACCATCAATCGAAGAGTGGCTAATAAAACTACTGGATATGATTGAACTAGATAAGCTTACATGCATACTAAATAATAAGTCATTAAAAGAACTAGAAAAAGATTGGATACCAGTCATAAAATATTGGAGAAAAGATTTTCATGGCTTGATTATATAGTGTCTTGCAATGAATGGGGAATGAACATTTACAAGAAGACTGTAAACTCGATATAAGCATATGGTTGGGTTTTTTAACCTTCTCTTTGATTGTTATACTTTTATTTGGAAATCTTAGTAACTCTGTAAGAGTAACTTTGAGTGATTTTATAATAACTTTGTAAGAAGCAGATCCTTGAAAAACTTCTTGAAAAAGTAAAGATTGCTGTTAATAGTGTGATTTAAATACTACTTAAGGTAAAAATAAAATAACAAACTTAAGAGTTAAAAGGAAGTATTTGGTTCTCAGCTATTATGTAGGTAGAAGGTTTTTATTCTCACAAATATAACTAATTACTAGAAATGAATAGTTCAGGGGTAGGCAACCTTTTTGAGCCAGGGGCCGGGTTGCTGTCCCTCAGACAATTGGGGGGCCAAAACACCAAAAATAAATAAATAAATACATATAAAAATATTTTAAAAAAAAATATGCATGCACACTCTCTCAGCCCCAGAAAAGCCATGGCAAAACCCCTGTTGAGATTTTGCTAAGAAAACCTCAAGAACAAGTAATAACAACATTAATCAATATCATCATGGCAGGCAGCAGGGGGCGGCAGCGGCGGCGGCAGGACTGGCCTGGGGCCGGTCCAAAGGCCTTGGGGGGCCGCATCCGGCCCCCGGGCCTTAGGTTGCCTACCCCTGGAATAGTATGTAATAAGGAAATATATAAGAAAATATATATATAAGAAATTGGAAGTTGGCATCCTGGATTGTGGTTAACCTAGAATTATGGGTCAATAACTGTTCCATGCTTACTTGTACTATGTATTCCCAATTGTGGCACTATTTTATATTTTAATTTGGCATTTAGGCAGAACACAAACTTCTTAATTGCTCCTTACTGATTGTCAATCCTGCATGTCATAAATTTCAAATGTCTTCTTGTACTACTTTGAAAATCTGGCAACATTAGTACAGATGGAGTCAGTGAAAATCTGTCTGGTGTCAATATGCTCTGGGTAATCTGTTCTGTTCTGATTAGTAAAACAAAAACAAGCTATTACTGTCTCCAGGTTGTGTATTTGTTCAATTTTTAAACAGTTCTGACTGAGTACCAGAATGAAATGAATCTTCGTTCTTTGTGAGTCTTCAAAATGTATTAATAATCCTTGCACAAACCAAGTTAGGTCAAGAAAACCTTTCAGATATATTTAAGAAGAGAGTTACATATCCTGCAAGAACAGAATTTTGATGTTTATATCTCACTGTAACTAGGGGGAAATGTTCTTATGACAGGTCCCTCAAGTAACAGTACAGAAAGTATTCCTTATTTATAGATGAGCTGACATGTCGACACATTTGAGCTGAAACATCTTGTGTTGTTGTTTTTTTATCATTTTGACTAACAACAAGCAAATCTTGGAGAATTAATTATAAATGAAATTTGTAGCTATTTTAAACTTATTTATTTTGCATGACTATGAATCTAAAATTAGTCCTAAAATGGTTTGATACAAATTAATATTTTTATACATTATTTTTATTTTTATAGCTATACTACATGTTGCTTTGTTGGTATGTTTATCCATGCAAATCAACTGTTTTCAAGGAGAACTGCATAGATGGTCACAACTGCGTTGAATAGAGTAGCATATTGCCACTCTTCTTTCTGCTATGATTTATTGATGATAGTGAAGGCAGTCAAGGAACTGTGCAACAAGAAGTGCCAAGATTATACATGTTACCTGGTCTAAAACTCAGTTCCAATTCCACCAGTCAGTCTGAAACCACCTTTGAACTCCCTGTCACTATATTATTGGCTAGCATCCTGTTAAGTAGTTACAATTTCATAAGGTAGATTTTCAACCTTGTAACTGTTTTGTATTCACATTTGCAGATCATGGCATTGCCACAATCACAAATGCCTCCAAAACTGACCTTAAAAGCCAAGCAGCCGCACCAAATGAAGAAGTTCTGTGACATAAGCAAGTGGGGAACTGAAGGATGATGTGTCCAGCCCCCTCTCACTAGCAAACCATGGTGCAACAAGGAATTGCAACAGGACCCTGCCAGTGTCCTTGCTTCTTCTAGTTGCATCACAGCTTGCTGGCAGGAGGGGACTGGATGTTTCACATTTCAGCACCTCACTTGCCAATGCCACAGAACTCCTTCACTTAGTACAGCTGCCTGGCTTTTAAAGTGGGTTTTAGGGGGTTGAACCAGGACATGGTGCACAGCAAATAGCTATGTGTCCCATGCAGGTTCGTTGCCATTATTATTAATCATCAATAGTCTACACCAGTTACTTAATTATGAATGCATTAATAAAATCTCTTTGCCTGACCCCCTCCCCTGCCCAGCTTAACATTCAGATCAGAAGCTGCAGCAAGTGTAGAGGAAGTCTGTCCAGCTGCTGTTCACAAGGAAGCCATTCCAGCTCCCTCCCTCCCAGTGAGCAAGACTGCAACAACCAGAAGGAGAACCCCTGTTGTAATACCTTATTGCAGCCCAACTTGCTGGTGGGAGGGGAATGGAATGTGGTCCTTCTTGCATTCCAATTAGCAGCTGAACAGATCTCTTTTACTCAGTACAAGGTGGGCTTGTGGGGGGCATTTATCATCATGGCAATAGTGCCACAATCATGACTACATAGTCTTATTGAATATGAAGCAATTATGGATCCATAATTCTAGGTTACAAATCTGTAATTGCAGTTCAGGATGCCAGTCAAAATTAGCAGCAGCAGCTATACTCTGCTTTTCTTCCCAAACTGTGACTTATTTTACTCCATTAAATTGATATCCAAGAGGTCTTACATAAAAGAAATATTTAAAAATCAGTAGAAGATGGGTTAAACACTACACCAGCCCAAACACACAAATAGTTATTACAACACATAAACTAATTCCAGCAGTAATTAAGATCCATAGAAGGCTGTGGATGAAAGAGACAATTTCACTTGATGCCTGTGAGATGTTAACCACATAGTTATTATTGTTGTGTGCCTTCAAGTAATTTCTAATTTATGGTGACATTAAGGCAAACCTATTATGGGGTTTCCCTGATATGTTTCTTTGTGTGTGGGGGGGGGGGGTTGCCATTGCTCAAAGTCACTCAGTGGATTTACATGGCTGAGCAGGGATTCGAACCCTGGTCTCCGGAGTCATAGTCCAATGCTCAAACCACTACATCATGCTGGCTAGTTTATTGTTTGGTGACAAAAGGCAAAAAATACAAATGAGTTCTCCAGGCTCAGTCACCTCCTCCTCCTTGGCTATCTGGAAAGGAAGTGTAGGTGAGGCAGGCAACATCATGATTTCTCCAAAAGTAGCGACACCCCTGTAAGTGTGGCATGGCAGAAGGAGAGATTAACAAATAGGGCACTATCACAGAAAAGGAACCAACTTGTTTCCATAGTACTTACTGTCTAACCTCATACTCTAGGAACCTCAGGAAAAGCATGGCTTCAATTCACTCATTTTACTTGTGAGGTTCATTCTCCTGGGGTTATATCAGAACATAATTAACTACAGGGTTCTTTTAATTTTCTTAGCTAAAACATGAATTATATTAAAATGACACTTTTCTTGTATCTTAATGAACACAGCATGACACTACTGCTCACATCCTTACATTCATTACAGTAAGTTTCATAACACCTTTATCTAATAGTCAGCCTGCTCTGAAGCGAAATGCGTCTAATGGGAATAGAGGTTTTTCAGCCTTCATTATGAAAATACCACCTAAAACAACAAAAAGGAGAGAGGAGGGTAACATGTATGTGTATATTCTGTCAACAGAATAGGACTAGAGGAGCGTATATGCTGTGCAGTCAACTGAAGTGTGGGGCACTATATTCTAATACTCTCAAGTACACCCACCAAAGATGTACCTACCACCATGCCATTTCACTTTGTTCCAGAAAATCAATGGATTGTGTTTATTTATTGGTCTGTATGTTAAAAGGGAAGGGGCTGTAGATGGTCAGAACACATTGTTCCATGGAACAGGGGAAATGATAGCATTCTTTGCATCAATCTGTTTCAGAAAGACATCAGCATTAGCAAATTAGACAGCCATTTGATAAACTGCAGATTTTACTGAAAATCAGTGTTACTACAAAAATGGCATATGTGTGGTATAATCTTCCCCAGTACTCAGTGTTAACTGACTTGCATACTATACAGAATCTACTCTTATTCCTAACAGCAGAATTTAATGTGAAGTTGTGGTGTCCCCTCTTTTAACATAAGTATTATATCTAGCAAAAAGACATAGAGAGACAATGCAGCAGATTGCAATCAAAGTAAATATTCACATGCAATCAGAGATGTATCTTACTGGAATATACCTCCAGTCTGGAAAATAGTGGTTATTTAGGCTTAAGTAATATGTATTACAGGTTGAGTCTCTCTTATCCAAAATTCCAAAATCCAAAATATTCCAAATCCAAAATTGTCCACATGGATGTCTGGGATAATGGCACCTTTGCTTTCTGATAGTTCAGTGTACACAAACTTTGTTTCATGGACAAAATTATTTAAAATATTGTGTATAAAATTATCTTCAGACTATGTTTATAACAAATATATAATTGAATTTCATGTTTAGATTTGCATCCCATCTCCAAGACATCTTATTATGTATATGTAAATACTCCAAAATAAAAATATATATCAAAATCCAAAATATTTCTAGGTCCAAGCATTTTGGATTAAAAAAAATTCAATGTGTATATGAATAATATAAAATGGTATGCTGGTGTGACAGTTTTAATGTGTTTAAATGAACACATTTCAATATAGTCAGCTATATTTAGATACCAGTGTGGTCATTCCGGCTGGATAACTGGCTCTACAGTATTTATTTTTATCACAAAGCACACAGAGAGAGGACAAGAAACCCTATGAACCTAATCAGTTTGAACTGATTCTGAAATATTGCACTAATTTGTAGGATAAAGGTCAAGCTGGTAGCTAAGCAGGGAGTATATATTCATCTTAGCAGGCAGAAATTTAAATCCAAGACTGCTATTAAAGTTACTAAGACTGCCAGATCTACAAATTACAGTATAAATAATTTATGCCTAATTTTTAATACTAAAATGGGGGGAATCAAATAATGATAAAAAAATATCAGCTAATAACCTCTCCTGGTAAGTCATTCAGAGGTCAAACAATCAGGGTCTCGCCAATCAATATTTAGCCAAGGAAGCAAGGTTTCAAAGTTTCATCATTATTATCTTCAAGCCCTGGATTCACATACTAAATTTAATAATGTAATCATTTTTCCAAAGAGGAAAAGGCCTTCAGTAAAAAAAATATAGTTGAAGTTATACCCCCCAAAGGAAATTTAGACCATATACTATACCTATACCTATACCTATATCTATGCTAATAACTATATTGATGGAACCTTCTTGTACCTTTTCTTGCACCTCAGGAGAACAGTGTAATCCCACTAGCCACACAATCCCTATTTAACATATCAGTACTGGTATAAAAGCATCGATATTATTTATAGTGTCAGCATCTACAAAGGGCAGATTTGCAGTGTAGGAGTATGCACAGTTAGACCATCTTTATTAATCTAGTCCAATTAATTCATGTTTTGAGAAAGGATGTTTTAATTAGCTAAATCAGAAAAATACAGTCATTGAATCAATTGCATTTACCATATTTTCACTGATTCTATCGATCAAGTTTAATTAGGAATAACAATTCAATTTAGGCCACTGTGTTTAATGGACTCGGTACCAAATGTGTGCATGTGTGTTTGTATGAGATAGAGAGAGAGAATAAAAAGCAAACTAACAGCACTTCTCCCAGGTTTCTTTTGGAACCAAGGATAGAGTTAATCACTGGGTATAATATATTTATTGAAGTGGTTAACAAACAGAACTTAAAATATTTACCAGGAGAAAAATGTCTGCTGTTGATATTTATATTTTAATATTCTGTTTGTTAGTTGCTTGTGTGTGGGTCTGAATGATTCCATTAAACCTGGTAATGTGTGTGTGTGTGTGTGTGTACATACAGAATGAGAGAGAGAGAATGATTTTAAAACATGGACTGGAATGCTGTTAGTGACATATGGTTTGCATAAGTATATGTCACATTTTGAATGGAGCAAAATGTGCTGTCTTGTAGTCATTTGCACAATGTCCAAAATGCCCCCATTGTTTGTCAGAGAGAAGGGGAGATAATGGGGAAGCAGCTCAACAGATGTAACTCTAAAGGGAAGAGTTAGAATGATGCATTCCATTGTGAGCAACTCCCATTTCCTTTCCCCTCTCAACTGAGAAGAGTGCATACCCTCCAATTGTCCTAATTTGGCAGGGAAAGTCATCCTACTTTTACATCTGCTTTTAAAATAGCCCAGTTTCTATAGTTTTTAATGGGTTTTTCAGGCTATGTGGCCATGTTCTTGAAGAGTTTCTTTCTGACGTTTTGCCAGCATCTGTGGCTAGCATGCCAGCCACAGATGCTGGCAAAACGTCAGAAAGAAACTCTTCTAGAGCATAGCCACACAACCTGAAAAACCCACAAAAAACTATGGATGCTGGCCATGAAAGCCTATGACTTCACAGCCCAGTTTCTCTTTCCCCTCTGCATACTTCAATTACTGCATTCTCAACTCAATAAATTGAGCTGGTACTCAATTAAGGATGGAAAGAAGAAGGGGACTGCAACTTGACCTTCCCAGTAGGCTCAGGGAAAAGCAAATTTCTGCAGCCTCTCCATGCTTCCATCCTGACGCATGCTCTGAAGTTGCTTCACATCTGATAGCACACCCTGCATACCCTGTGCTGTATTTGGGGACCCCACATATTTATATTTCACATTTGGAACCAGCATATTATTGAAAGGTCACAATGACCTAGGTAAGGTTCCCAGGATTAAAGGAGCAAAGACCTGAGGCATGTGGACAATCCAGGTAGTAATACAATCAAGGCTAAATATGTGTACTAATTACTCCTTCCTTTCCTCAAGTCCTCTGCATTTCCTCTTCCACCAAGAAAGAAAGGAAGTCTCATTACACCAAAGTAGCATGCCAGTTCTTTCTGTCTAACCCCCCCCCTGTGTTTTCTGCCAATCTCACTGTCCAGTCACCCTTGGACTGTCCTGATCCAGTCACTGTTTTTGTCAACTTAAAGTTAAAGCCTTCAACAAGTCCAAAACCCCACTGTCAATTTCTGTGAAATAACATCAAGCCTTTGGTTCCTTGCACAATAGCCCACCCCCAGGGGTTACTTTTCAGGTATAAATATTGTTCTCAAAAACCTGGCCTCTGAGCACACAGTATGTATATAGTTATCCCAGGGTGTGCTTTGTGTATGTTCTGTGTCACTCTCAGACCTCAATCTGAGCCACTCCCGCTTTCTGTGGTCTACTTGTCTTTTTGGACAAGTAAATATCACCCTCCTTTTTTTAAAAAAAAACTCAAACTCTGCTATCCAGTTTCCATATTTCCATTTTTGGTTAGCTCTGAATGCTGTGCCTGTGTGAATTGCTATTGTGTATGCATAACTGCACTCTGCATTTTTCTAAATAAAACCCTCTTAATTCACTCAATCTTAGAGTTCTCGTTTATTACTGGTATTACCAGTACAGATGCCAATAATCCTAAAGGTTACCCAGCCTTTTTCAAAGCTAATGTTTCCAACAATTAAAGTAATGCTGACATACTTAGAGGGGACTCCTCCAGTCCCCCCACCTTTCTTTGGGTAACACCTCACATGTCCCAACTTTCATCAGTAAATGTTTGAGGGTATGAAAGCTTCATTCATCAGTGTCTGAACTGCCTCCATGGTCTCTCTCCTAGAGAAAGTCATTGAATCATATCGTTGGAAGTATTCTCATCAGCTATCAGGTCCAACCTCTTGTTCAATACAAGATCTCCAGTTAGAAAATGGTTCCCAGTTTTGTTCCTCCATGTGTTTTGAACTTCAGCTCCCAGAAGCCCCAACCAGCTTGCTCAACAGCCAAGAATTCTAGGAGCTAAAGTCCATAACATCTGGAGGACAAAGGTTTGGTAACCACTTAGCTACAACATCCCCAACAGATAGCTATCCAGACTCTTTTTGAAGACATCCAGAGAAGACCTCACCAGCTTTACAGTCTAGGTAATTGGTTCCATTGACAAACTGCTATCACTATCAAGAAGTTCATTCTCACTGGTAATGGAAGAAAGGATGTCG